ACTGTATGGGTGTCTACGCCACAGTCCCCCAGCTTCCTAATGAGAATGGGGTGAGAGACAGTATCAAAAGCCTTCCTGAAGTCTAGGAAAACTATATCCACTGCCACCCCTGCATCCAATGATTTAGTGACCTGGTCGTAAATCAGAGATTGCAGCATCAGAGATTAATGAACAGAATAGTAATTTTAGCAGAAATCTTACACTTACTGAATACCTGTTAAATTGTGCCCTAACCATGTTTGTTCAGAAGTTGTTCCTGTTATGATGCATCTGTCTCCTTAACTGATCTTATTTATGGTAATAATTAAACATGCATGGGTAGAAAAACATATTAATTGAGAAATTATGCTAAAAGACTTGTGAAATTTAGTTTATTTTCTCTAGTTTCACCAACTGCAGCATAAAAAAAAGTCCATTAAACATTTTGCTCTATTGTTTATAAAAATAGGTAAAATGTCTAGTGAAAACTAGACATTAGGAGGAAAAACGGCTTTTGACCAATGCTGGTATTTAAACAGTAATAGCTTGAGCTATGAAATGGAATTGGATGTTAACCTCTTGAAGTATTATTTCATATAGTATTTTACCACTCAAAATTCTGCATAACTTTCTTTTTTTCTTTTTTTTAAGAGGAGTGTTTGTCATTGACCTAATTCCATTATCCTGACAAATGCTTATTTGTTTTTGATATCACAAATTTACACAGTACATATTAATGAATCAGTGTTTTTCACCCTGCAATGACTGCTGATTTCCCAGGAAAATCACAAAGTCCAGAAGTCTTAAATATGGCTATGTTTAATAGCCACTGGGATATTAGAAAGATTGGTCATCTGCTAATACTGGCAATATGTTGCTGTTAATACTTTCTACATCCTTAGTATTTGGTTGCAGATTGGGTGAATACATAAAGAAAGTTGTATTTAAAATGTTGTTACTTACAAATGTAACACGCATCTTGCAGCTCATGAAGCAACCAAAGGTGATAGATGTTGCATCTAGAAAATTAGCAGCAAAGAAGAAGCTCATTTCTACAAAAACAGCGAACAACGGTTTAGCCAGGAAAGGTGCCAGCAGTTGCCCATCTAACCTAAACTGTGACTGTTTTGCAACAGACAGAGTTTGCAGTATTTGCCTTTCAAGGTAATTTGCTTTGATATTGTAAAGCTAACTACTGTGTTATCAAGCTAGGTTATAAATTCAAGGCTTACTAGACCGCTGATTTAGGTAAGGGAAAGACAGCATTAGACTCGTGCAGTGTGCAAGCATTAAAACATGTATGTTATTTTTAAGCTGACACAAAGATCTTGTATGGCATTCTGTGCAGTTCTAAACTTCCTATTGCAGATAATTCTATGTATAATTTAAATATCCCACACTCCAAGTCTCAGAGAAAAAAAAATCACTTGACTTTTTTTCTTGCTCTAACACTTGTTGCCTAATAAAACTATAGGCCTATGCCAAACATATGGGGTACTAGTGTGGAGAGATTCCTACTTTTAGGTATTTTTCTCCTAATGTATTTGAGGTAAAAGAGCTTCTTAAAAGTTCTCTGCATTCTGAGAACCCTGAAAGAAGTTTTTGATAAACCCTGTTCACATTTACAAGGCTTTGTTATCATAAATATACTGGTATATTTATGTTGTCATAAATATATTGCTAAAGCTATCCCAGCAATCCCTTACCTATTGTAGTTCTTTTACCAGTAAATCATGAACCCATTTCTTAAAGAGAATATTTTACATCATGAAAAGGATCTCTTTGCAGGCATAAACTTCATGGCACAGGTATGTCTGCTAGTAGTATGAAAAAATTCAAACTCAATTTCAAACTCAAAAAATTCAAATTCAAATGTTGGCAAAAGTTGAAGTAAAGCAAGCTTAATTTTTTTTTCCCCAGAGACTTTTACTCACTTAAAGGTGGCTTAAAAATGGGGGTTTTGTACGTGTGATTGTTTATACTTAGTCTTCAAAATTAAATTTAGTACTAAGAGGGGGAGAGAAGTTAAGGTTTTATTTTTTTCTTCTAATTAGAGCACATATAAAGTCAAGAGCCCTGATTAAGGAAACTGGAGGGATATTCCTCTTACGCTGGCCAAATAACTTGACATTTCAGTTCAAATCCATTCCACATGTGGTTAAGTTCCACTCAGATGAGCTATTTCTTGATTTTTTTTTTTTTTAGCATTTCAAAAGTTCTGTTTTTACAGAGAATGTAGAATAAGGGGTTAAAATTATTCATTCAGAAAATAAAACTGATCACTGTAATGAGGACAAGAGGAGATGAACTAAATAAAGGAAAAGCATATTAAATTCCTGTGTCAGTGCCCTTGTTCATAAGAAAAACAGGTTTGCTTACCTGCAGTTTAACCTGAGGAAGGAAAGCATCCACTGTTATTTTAAACACACTATAATACCATGCCTTTGGTTAATTTTAATTTTCCAAAGCATCTCTATGTACACACTTTTTAAATGGAAGTCATGCTTCATTGAATTACACTGTAAAGTTCATTGTTCAAGTATGCAAGTTTAGGTCTATGTACTGTTATCTCACCCTAGCTACTATGTACATTCAGTGCATCTAACATGAATTGTTTAAAATTTTAATAGAGGGAATGAGAAACTGTTGACATCTAATTAGAGAAGTACGTTTTTAAATGTTTTTAGACATGTTTTGTAGGGAAGTGGTTAGCTGTTTTAGCCTGTAGTATCCATGACATTTTCCTGATCTATGTATTCTGTTATAATGTGCTTTTTATTATTATACAGGCGTCAGCAAGTTGCCCCTAGGGCAGGTACACCTGGATTCAGAGCACCAGAAGTATTAACTAAGTGCCCCACTCAAACAACAGGTACTACTTATGACCAAAATTAGAGACTTTTCCATAAAATCAACTGGTATGTACAAATGTGGAAGCCTTTTCTATTTACATGTGGAATGCATTTTATTGTCCCTTCTCACATTGTTGAAATACTTCCTGTTTTTTATTAAATGTTTATTGCTCAGAACAAGCTAGAAATACTTTCAAATCTTTGAAACTTGAATATATTTTAATTCATTTGAGGTAAGGAAAACAATGAGATTTTGTTTTTGTTTTTAATTGAACTTTCGCTCTTTTCCAACTATCAGATTAAAAATCCTGAAATAACCACACATTTTGCAGTTCAGAGGCTCTTAGAAAGATTCTGTCAATATTTGCTTTCAGAGTATATATACTAAACATAATACAGGCAGTCCTCAATTTACAGTGTTTTGAGTTGCAACGTTTATAAATTGACAGTTTCAACTTTCTGATGTCAGTTTCGACTTTACAACGCTTGATCCAATGCCACACCACGCCAGTGAACAAGTTCGTTGCATCACCCATCTCTTGTCTGTCCAAACTTCCTTGGACACTTTCTTTAAGAAAGCAGACAAGACTCCAGAAAAACCTGCAGCCAAGGCTCCTGAGAAGACTCCAGCCAACAACCCTTCAAAAAGTCCAGCCAATTCACCTCAAAGAAGTCCTTCCAAATCAATATGATTGCTATTTACAATATAAATACATTAATGTAGCTATAGTACTCATCTATAATTGATCGAGTACAAAATTCTGGGTTATTTTTGGTGAAAATAGGGTATCAGGCCTTGGTTCAGGAACCAATCCCCCATTTATAATATTGTTTCTTATAGGAAAATCGGTTCCAAGTCGCAACGTTTCAACTTAAGACGTGGTTCTCAGAACCAGTTGTGTCGTAAATCTGAGGACTTGCCTGTATGTTTGCAAACAGATTTGTAAGACGATAAGAAAATGCTGATTATTTGATATTTGCAAACATCTGGAAATCAATGCATGTCGGATTTACTAGTACTACTGTAATTGATATTTAGCGAATCAAGATGGCTTATAGATAGTTTGTCATCCTCCTTTTACCCCAGATTTAACGTAAAAAGGGGGGGCGTTAATTTAGACTTAATATATATATTGGTGCTGTATACAGAAAAGTATCAACCTATTTGAAGTTTAACAAGTCTGTATCAGATTGATAGAAGTATTGATAACCTAATAAAATGCAAACTGAAAGATAATTTGAGGACCAATATAAATGCAATGAAAAAGACCGCTTATATGAAAAAATTAAAGACTACTAAGAAATAAGTAGATACAAAAATGTGATGTTACTGAGATATGACTGGTGAAAGATGAGAAATATGAAGAAATGTTTTGAAAAATCCTCAAATCAGAGACTGCCACTGAGAGGAGGTTATAATCTTGAGATTAAAATACAGAATTACGAGTTCTATGCCAACTTGGTCCCAGACTTAGTTTGTGGCCTAAGTGATTTTGGGCAAGACTTTAAGGTAGTCACTTAACTTCCATAGAAATCTATGGGAGTTAAATGCTCAGATATCTTTTGAACATACTGGCCTTCTTCTGTGGCTATTCTTTCCTACTTGTAAATGAGAGTAATACTTAATTGCCTCTCCCAGGTTTTGTGTTGCTAAATTAAACAGTGATAGAATACATATTTTTAAATCCTGTAATGGGAAGGTACTGTCTGCTTGCAAGTGCATCAGTTTAGCTAGTATCTTATTCTTCATTAGAAAGCATTAAACTAGTCTTTGACAGTAAACTTGGCACTTGATATCTTCTGAAGCAGTGTACTATTAGTATTTTTGGTAAAATAATTAAAGCTGAGATATTGTATATTTCATTAGACAAGAATTGCCAGCTCTTCTGAAAATAATTACTTTTGTCTTCATAGAAAAAAGCCAGAGATGTTAAACTTTCTCTATAAAATAGGCTGAGAACTTTTCAACCCCTCCCCCTACCATCCCTCAAAAAGTAAAAAGTAGTGAGCCAAAAAAATATCATGGCAGACAGGTCTTCTTATAACTTTCCTTTAAAGCTGCAAAATTTCCATCCAGCTTTGGCTCCTTACCCAGAGTACTCTTTGTAAAACTATGAAAATGATGAACCATCTCAAAACTGCTTCAATTCTTAAACGGGTTACCTTGTCAAATGATTTCATACTTAGATGTTGCGAGTAACACTTTCACATCTTCAACGCAAATCCATTTGAAACTGCCAAACTATCATAGTCACAATTTGAAATTAATTTAGTTTTTTGTATAGCCTCTCCTTTTTGTAGGCAAGCTCTGAAATTAGCTGGCCTAATTTTAACTCAAGCCCAAAAGGCTTAGTACTAGGTAGAAGTAGATCTGAATGCTGAGAATGACTTCATGCTTAAAGTTATGAATATAGTTCTGTTTGGTAGATTTAGATTTATAAAAAGAGGCCCCCAGAAGGTATTGGGGATGTTCATATGAGTATCATCATTCACAAGCTTCAGGATCAAATTCTAAAATTATTCTATACAAAAACATGAGTGTTTTGTTGGAATGAAATAAAAATCAGTAGGTAATTCAGGACAGTCCTCTTGTTGTCAGCTTTTTTGGTAAATTCAGTGTTTATTAAACTCCAGATGTGAAAGGTGTGGATTGTTGTTTATGACTCGCTTTCAATTGCAGCAATTGACATGTGGTCAGCAGGAATCATATTCCTTTCTTTGCTCAGTGGACGGTATCCATTTTACAAAGCAAGTGATGATTTAACTGCCTTGGCACAAATTATGACAATTCGTGGATCCAGAGAAACCATTCAGGCTGCTAAAACGTTTGGTACGTAAATTTTAATTGCAGAAAAAACTGTATGTTTAGTCTGTTACAAATCATTGTAATAAGTAATACATTTCTGTTTACATGTTTATGATAAAAATCACTACATTGGCTAGGGACTTGACTTTTGTCATATCCCCACCTGCTAGCATAGAATAAATTTAAGAAAATACTAAGCACTAAAATACTAAACACAGGGTGTTTTTTGTTTTAAGATTATAAAGGCTCTCTTCTCCATTTAATCTTTAATTTGAATTTCTATAGTAAGTTTCATTATAAAGAATTCTCATACTGCTTACAAACTGTACCATGTTTTACAGAAGCACATCAGTTTCTCTGGGGGAAGGGGGAAGCAGATCAGTTTTGGGGGGTGGGGGGAGAGGGGGAACATAACTCTCTAATGACTACTCTTGGAATTTGCTTAGAATGTTTGAGGTAACTTCCTTAATCTTAAATCACTCTGGTCCAAAATTAAGATGTAACCTTATTTTTTTTTTTAAAGTGTGTATGGGGGGTGGGTATCAGTTAGGATTAGGAAGTGTTTAATTCAACAGAACCTTGCTAAATTAATCTAAGTGTTATCCTGAAATTGTCCATAGCACAAGGAGAAACTGACAACACTCATTTTTATTCTCCAAAATGAGAAATGTAGATTGTGGACAAATATCATTAACAATGAAAATAGGGTTTTTTTCTCCTCAAGTTCCATTAATCCAAGATAGTGGTGGCAAGAGAAAAGAAAAGCAAAATATATTAATTTTGATAGTGAATCTGACCAGAAGTGGTCAGGACTTCAGTTTTAATTATTTTATACTTTTGTGTATACAGTTAAAGAAAATCTTCTCTAAGCCACTAAGGTTCTTAACACTGCCTCCCAGAAACTCATCAAGATGTCTTGTTGCCATCGCTGGTTTTACTGCATACCCTGCTTCAGCTGATATTGGAACATATGCAGTAGCTTCCCTTCTCAGACCAGAATAGCTGAAATACAGCACACTTCAGCATACTCCTCCATGGTTTTCTATGGGACCAGTAGATCTTATCACTCATTTTAACATAGCATAAAACGTCACGACTACTAAGTCAGCAAGCAAGATATTAAGCATAAAAGAATTAGTACGACTGAGATGTGTACCACTGACATTAATTTGCAGTTGTATATCAAGTGTAATAAAAAAGTCTTATTGTTTTTCCTCTTAGGTAAATCAATACTGTGTACCAAGGAAGTCCCAGCACAAGATTTAAGAATCCTCTGTGAAAGGTTGAGAGGAACAAATAAATCAACAGGTGATATGCACACCAACCCTTCCTGTGAACTTGCTTTGCCAGTTGAGACAGATAAAGCGGAGTTTGGTTCCCAGACATTCAGAAAAGAAATCCACCATCTGAAAGACAGCCATTGTGAAAATGGTGGTGGTATAGACATAAAGATTAGAGAGAAACTAATGCACACAAAAGGCTGGGACAGAGTTCCTGATGAGGCTTACGACCTGCTTGATAAACTACTAGATCTGAACCCCGCTACAAGAATAACTGCAAAAGAGGCTCTGATGCATCCTTTTTTTAAGGACATGAGACTGTGAGAGTATACCCAGTTCTCTTATTGCCTTGATAGATATTTGCTTTATATGAAAATATACAGTTGTACAGTAGTAATTTAATTTTACATTCCATCTTTAACACCTACAAATCTTTCAATGAAATATAGGTGCTGACAGATGCTCACTCTTCAGTTTTGAGTTTCTGACACATACTGATCACTTTACTTGTGCTATAAAAACTGCCAGAGATTTACAAAAGAAAGTTTGGCAGCATGGGCGGGTAGCGTTGGATTTGGAACTATTCTCCTCCTAACCCTCTGTTGGTTGTTACTAGTTAAGTAAGTTTGCTAACCTCTAGCTTCATGAGTGAATTACAGTTGGAGTCAAAGTCTGGTAGAAAAGTGTCACAGTACAAAAAAAAAAAAGAAACTGCTGGCAGTCCCAGATGCCAAGGATTGAATAAGCATTATAATCAACACACTTTAACCCCCTCCATTGCTGAAGCGCGTTGGTGAAGTAAGTGTAGGAAAAGCTGCATTGCTTGAGGGGGGTGGAGGGAGCAGGCAAATACTATGTTTATGTTAAAATTCCTGGTAATTTTTAAAACTAATGTGATGGCAACAAGAGGAATTATTAAATGACTCTAGTTAACACATGCTGGTTACTATTCTGTCCATACACAAGCATCCCTGTTCTGTTCATTTGAGTCTATTCACTTCTGAGCCTGTTCTTTTCACACTGGAGATCCTAGTTAGATTATCACTGGTCATAGTAGTCTCTTCAAAACTTCCTTAGAGAAGACGTTTGCTTTGTATAAATCAAGGATCAGGTATTGTTTGGTTAGTAGACCCCCAGAAAGGCATGTATTCAAAGAAATGTGTACTCTCTTCCTGCCATCTGTTTGGGCAGTGGTGAATACTGCAGTTGCCTGCTATGTACAACCTGTATTTTTCTCAAGTGAAGCAACAGAAGTAACTACCAGTGTGAATCAGCTACCTCCTTGCTGATTCTGTCATGTGCCATATAGTTGCTGAAACACAACTGCTATGAAAAATTATATTTTCATTAAATAAAGGTTTTGTTTTTATTATTATTTTGAAGATTGGTTACAGGTATTACTTTTAAAAATGCCCAAATATAGATAAGAAAGGGATTTTTTGCAGAAAGCAATATATTATAATGGAATTTTTTGTTCTCCTGTATAAATCCCTTCATGGAAAACATTTTTTAGTTGTTTTTACTGTACTAAGGATTGCGATAGTGCAGGGTGTCTTAATCTCAAGCAGAGTTCACAATACAACTGGCTCTAGTGCTCTACACAGAAAAATGCCTAAATTCCCTCAACCTAAAAGCAGGCATTCGTTATTTCAAATTTGCTAAAGCAGACTTACCTTTTTCTTGGTAAATATTGCCTTATTTTAAAGGTATTGGGTTTTAGTTTTTATTCCATAAAGTTCAGTGGTTTTAATTTGAGAAGTGAAATAGGAGAAAATATAACGGCTTTACGAGCATTCGTGGTGCTCTGGAGAGGTACCGGTGGACTGGAAGAGGGCCAACGTGGTTCCCATCTTCAAAAAAGGGAGGAAGGAGGACCCAGGAAACTATAGGCCAGTTAGTCTTACCTCGATCCTAGGCAAGCTGTTTGAGAAAATTATTCTGGCACACATCCAGGAGGGGCCAGCAGGGGACTGCATGCTTAGGGG